TTTTTTTATTGTGACCAAAATAAATTACGTAGTAATGGCATAGCCGAAAGATTGGTCATCTTGTATTATCCATAAAATTACGTAATAAACTCACTAGGGGTAAGACAAAAGTCTTAAAATATTCAAGAACTACTTTGGTTGGTTAAAAAGGGATTATGGGTTTTTAACCTTTTGCAAGACTCGTTTTTTTCATTATTATTTGTTTTACTGCCTTCAAATGGAGCTCTGAGAGCTTCGTTCGTCGGAGAATACCGTATGAAAATTTTTTATGGTCATATCCATAGAGCTTTCTTAAGCTTATTTTGCACTTGGTATAATAACTATTGGGGTAGTTCTTATGCAGAATTATGCCATAACGTTAAGCTTTGGCTAGGCTTCTCACTGGTTCTGTAAGATAATTAAGCTATATAAGCGTGAAGAACTTCCGTTATTTAAGCGTGAAGGAGGTATATTAGGCCTTTCATTTGTTTGTAGTCGTTACTGATCGCAATTTATAAATAAAACGAACTTCGGCCGACGAAGTTCTTCCCTACGCTTAAATTCGTCCTTCCCTACATCCGGACAGCGCTTTGCGCTTTCTCGGGCCTTTCAAGAAAAAGCAAGCTTGAGAGGCCAAAAAATATATATTTTGCTATAGTTTCCGCTGAAAGGACCTAATCTGTTGTGGGGGATAAGGGCAGACTGCTATGCATTATAGGTTGATTCATACATTCTTGAAGATTGTCATATGATGTTGATAATATTTTGTTGATCTTGGAAGAAGTAAGTTTTTTTTCTTATGGAAAAATATTTCACTGAAGCCTTTGGTAATAAGCTTGAGTGAAAAGTTGTTATGGAGTATGAGATGTAGTAGTTAATAGAAAAGAAGACTTGGGAGCTAGTGTATCTAAAAAACTCAAACTCCGATTGATTAGAGCTAGATGTCCAAGTTGAAGTCTAATCCAGTAAATGACAAAAATTGATAAATAACAAGATCTTAGAGCTAGTGAATTTTTTAAGTAATCAAGCTTTGATTGATTGAAATTGAATAAACAAGTTGAAAAACATTTCAAAGCATGACATGAAGAAAATCTTCAAAGACAAGATGATGTTTAAAAGTTTTACTCAAGAAAAAGGTGAGATATACAACTTCAATTTTTCATTTGTGGCAAAATACAATTTGTAAGATACGTGCACTTGTTGCAATATTTATTTTGATTATAGATAAAACGCATGTAGTTATTGCGATTTTTTGAATGTATCTATAGAATAAAAAATCTACATGAAACAATCAGTTGGCCAACTGATTGTCTCATATGTAAACTCATATTCAAAAGTAGATTTGCTCTTGTCTAGATGCTGTATTGAATATGAGTTTACATTTGTTCATGTATTCAATTGTTGAACATATATCTTGCAAAATTGCGTAGCTCAATGTATAATGAAAGTTGTGTATATAAAACCAGTCGAAGTAAAATAAAAGCTATTTGATTAAATATATATATCACTAAGATGAGATTAGCATATCATATTGTCAATCTTTACAATAATAATCAAAATGCTTAAAAACTTGTTGCAATTCAAGTGATGGATAACATAATGTAACAAATCAACATCAAATATCATATTATTAGACATGTAGTTTCTGATTAAAAGATTGAGCTAGTCAAGATTGACAATTGATTTATTATGGCTGATTGGTTCATCAAAATTATTCCTTTGGAAAATTTTAGAATACATTGAGCTACTATGCGACTTTAGTATGAAGTGTTTAAGTAGACTTACTAGCAATTTTATCTTTTTATTTATTTTTACTGTATCATATTTTGGCTACAGCTTAATTCTAGTTAGCTCTAGTCTAAAGAGCAACTTTGTTAGGATTTTATTTAGTACTTATCGCAGAATTATTTTATAGTTTATGATGGTTATTGTTCCCTAAAAAAAATCATAAATTATAAAATGTAGATTGTTGGGTTGTAACTCACGTCGGCTATAAGTGAAGGTTGATTCGGAATTTGGTCATGAATACTTAGGATGAAAATATCTAGCTTGATCCCTTGAATATTATCAGTAAAGCTTGTGTTTCCGTGGACGTAGTTGACTGCAAACCAGTAGTTCAATTTTTTTGTGTTATTTTGTATTTTTATGCTTTTGTGTGAATTTGTTTCCATAAAATTTCACTTAATAGAATGCATATGTCACACATCTATCTTCATAATTAATATTTGAGCAGATCGTAATACTTAGCTTGAAAATTTTAACACAATATTTTGAAAATGGTATCATTAATTTTGTTTTTCACACAATACTTTTGTTTATATATAACGTAAAAATTTTTAATTTTAATTTAATGTTTTTTGGTCTTGAAATTTAGTTCTAGATGTAGTCTAAAGATTTTTTTCATGCTTATCGTTACATGAATATGATCGTGCAATATTTATAGTTGATGACATAGTTGAAAAAAATATAAAAGAGGTAACATCATTAGAAAATTTATTAAAAATATAATCATGAATGTGTTGTTTATTTACAACATAATTGATAATAATTATAGCCTATCACAACGATAAACCATTGCCATGATTGAAAATAATCAAGTAAGAAATAAAATAAATAAAATAGCCCTTTTGCATGAATCATGTTTTTTTTCAAACTTTTTAAGGTTAATCCTTAGAAAACCAAAGTCATAAACTTAATCTTGGATATTTTTGTAATTTTAAAACTTTCAATCTTAATATAATGTATATGAATTTTAAAAACTCTTTTTAATGAAATGTTATTTAAATAATAAAATAAATTATCTTCATATCTACTTGCATTAGATTATAGGACTGTAAATATAATATATAATAATATTTATAATTTGATAATTAAAATCATTTAGATGTTTGTTGTTGAAAGAGGAAGGTATATGATTCAAGATAATACGCAAATTCATATACTTTCAAGTTGCTTCATCCATAACAAAAGACTATCACCTTTATAGTATTTAAATATGTCAAATTCAGCTTTACTTGTCTTCATATCAATCATCTTTTTGCGTGAAATTCATAAGATTGTTTACTTTGTCACATGGTAAACCAAGAACTTTATCCACTCATATGAAAGATCTAAAATTCATTTGAAGATAAACTTAGATCTTGTAAATCATCACTCATACAATCTTCAATGGACGAACATAACCTTACTGAACATTTAAAATTAAACCCAAAACAATACATTAAAAACTTCATCAAAATGAAAGTGTTTAGATGAAAACACTAGACTGTATGATAACCTAAATCATAGAATTCATTGACATCTAACAATGTTGATACCTCCTGCGCTTGCTATTCTTGCTTATAGATTAGAAGCTTGGATCAAAGGCCGATCTTGAGAAGATAATTTTCCAAGAGAGAATCAAACTCATCCACGAAAAAAATTTCAAGATTTAGATTTTGCAACACACGACAAAGTTGCAGTTGACAAAGTGATTAAACTTTAAATTTGTATCATAAGATACAGGAGTTATATGTCTGGGCTACAAAGTTGATGAAACTATCTTGGTCTTTACATTAATATTATCTTTTTTTATACGAACTTGGGTACAAATAAAAATCTCAAATTTTACATATTTTTTTCATTTCGTTTATCACGAAGATCATAATGAACAACAATTATTGGTGCGTAAAGAACGGCTGGTTCGTGGTCCACAATGTGATTGTTGTCCAACAATCTGTGAGTTTTTCTATTGATCATAAATATTCTACTGATTCAATCCATGAGTGAAAAGCTTGCATCTTGCTTCCATTTTGCATTGATGGGAAACGCTCACCGTGAGCCTCGCTCTATCCACTTCCGAGCTCTAAACGAATATTCGTGGATGTAGCAGATCGAATCCCTTAAGCCAGACACCGATGATGAAATACGGGGAAGAGTTGCTTCGACGAGAAGCTTGAATAAACGTTATGGTAGCCTGATCACGGTACAGAGCAAACCCCATCCAAGGTTAGCTCATTGAACACGAGACTTTGAGATTTTGGTTTTTCATAAATAAGCATCACTAAATAATTTTGTTTTTGACATATACACAGAAGCTTGGTTGTCTATAAAGTCATCATACCAACGCCTTAACGAAACTTGACTACTCATTGAAGAAATCAGTTCCTCCAGCATTCCGGAAAGGAACAAAGCAAACTGAAAGTCCAATTGGAAACTGTACGTTCATCCCACTTATGGTATTCAGCTCGCTTTGCATTCTGGCTTGTTGTTCTGCCATCCTCACGTGCTTCAATCATCTTGCGCTTACGCTGTACAGAAAGCAATATGTCACATTTGCCTGGAAATTGAATTCCAGCGCATATAATAATCCTTTTGATTGCACCTCAGTTCCTGCAGTGTCATAATGCACAGACATAACCAGGGAACGAGTGTTAAAAACACTTTGCTGGCTTGTTGAATATATTATGTTGTTGAGCTCCCACAGTGTTTGATACCGCGGAACAACAACTAAGTAGACCATAAGTACGGTTCTCAATCTCGCATTATTTTTTACATGACTGAAGTATTGTTTCTCGTCGTGCTTGGTTTAACACAGAGATAGGCATAGAGCTTGAAATTGAGATCTTGTCTTCTGTCAGCAGGGCTCTGTGCATAAGTTTGGTTACAAAATTTTACAGATATCAGAAACTTGGAATTTAGTTTATCGTGAAGGTACTTACTGCTCGTGGCCTTTTGCTTCCTCGAGCATCCGTGAAACTTGAAATACTTCGAACTCACGTTCGTTAACAGCGCACGAGTTCGAAATATCTGAACACTTTCCTCTTCAGAAGAAAGTCTCAAAGTTTCACAAATTCATCGCCACTCTCTCTTGAATCATGATTGCTTCTGATCAGCAATATGCTGTGTACTTCACAATCCTAGCAATAGCACTGGATGCCCTGCATTGGAAGCAGACTGTTGGATGTGGACTACGACTGACACAAAGACAAAAAAAACATCAAGCCAGAAGGCTCGTACAGCTAGAAAAGGTCGAAACTTCTGGGAATCGGGTGGAATCAACCATAAATATTCATCAGAGAAATCTTCAATTTGCGTATTAATTACACAGGACATTTCGCCAATCACGGCTGCTGCTATTGTACATGAAAGAATGAGTTGTTAACTAGCCACTAAATCAAAACTGCACATGCGAACCTTTTATCTCCAGCTTGTGCGCCTGCCTGCATATGTGTGTTTTCTTTGGAAGGTTCATGATATGTTGAGGCAATCTGGATTCCTAACTTCCAAAGAAAGGTAAAAATAGATAACCTAATCATTCGTACAGCCAGGGGGCCTAGACTATCTTTCTAAGAATAGGCTCTACTTACACATGATTATTATCCCTATTACGGTCAGGTGAAAAGACGTTACTACTATTATCAGAACCACCAAGATGTTGCCCAAAACGAAGATCAGATTGCATGCTGCTCACTCTGTGTTCAACGTGTGCTGTCATTCCAACTGACGTCCTCCTGACTCCTTTCTTGCGTTCCCGCTTCCACATTTCCGGATCTGTCACGTGCTTCTGCAAATGTCGGATCTCTTGAATAATATGGTGATCTTGAGGGTAGAACGTTCTTCGGTATGAGGTGAACACGAAGTAGGGCAGGATACATCCGAGCGTCGTGAGGACCGTAATCAACCAGAACATGGGTGAGGGAGCAATCACTTCCGTCAAAACTTTGTAAGCGGTCGTGGATTGTACAGGGTCAATGTTTCCATAGATGAGTAAAAATATGTACCACAATGCGATACTGCCCCAAATGGCAACATGCTGCATCCATGTGAAGTAGCTGAGTGCAAGCACAAGCTGCACGTTTACTACCCAAACGATACAAGTGTACATAATTGCTCCCATCGCTTCCAGGCCTGGAACTTTACCATCGCTACGGAATGCGATGTAAGAGATGGCCAACCTGTTGAACACGAAGGCCATGACAGAGCTGTACAGCCCATTGATCATCCACCCGAATATGCGCGACCAGCCAAACATAAGATTTTGTGGCCCTTGCTGGTAAAGGGCAGGAAACTGCAATTCCAGAAAACACCACGTAGTTCAGCTTACAGATAGCGGAATGCTATCGGAACCAAGGCATAGTCAGCTCGTTCCAGCAATTGTACGACAGCCATGACAGAGTAGCTAATCCCACAGAAGTAAATAGGCAAGAATTGAAGGGCAAATTGATCTTACTTGCATCAAAATACGAGGAGAAACATCCTGTTCGAATACTCCGAGAGCGATAACAGGCAGTGAAGTAAAAAATACGTTGAACAATGACATGTACCAATCGTTATAAACTGTCTGCCCAGAGAAGGTGGAAAACGCTTGATAGTAAAAGAGAGTGAGACCAAAAGTTATGTTTTTGTAAAAAAAGTAGCAAATCTGCACAACACCGAAGATCATGTCAGACACGGCCAGCCAATGCGCATCATCCAATGTTCAGAAGTATCTCAAGGTACAACTGCAACAAAGACTCACCATAAGGGCAATACGTTTGTAGCACCAATGACCGTGCACAATCAACAGCCTTTCTAGGTAGCGAAATTGGGCGATTGCAAAGTCACTAGCCATGACAGCCTGCGACACGAGAACGATACGTCAAATCAAGGTACAAGAGCATTGAAGATTAGCAGACAAGAAGCTAGCTTAACTTTCATGTGAAATAAGTTGGCATCTGGAACTAAGTTTGCGTGCGTGGTAATTTTATAAAATTCAACTTTTTTTATTCTACATCTAGGACAATGCACATGTCCATGAAGCCTACCTGCATGCCTTCGACTCCACTAATACCAATCCCAATGTCCGCTTCCTGAATCATGCCGACGTCGTTTGCACCGTCACCAATTCCAAGACAAGTCTTACCAGTGCCTTCTTTCACTAGTCTTGTGATCTAGACATATCGATAATAGCAGAATCAGTGAAAGGCGACAGAAAACAAAGACGTAAGCATTGATGTAGGTAACACTCATACTCCTTTGAGAACATCTCTTATGCAGATCAGGCAACATATACATTTACTCTCTGGTACGACCATCGCAGTGGAAAATACGCTTTATCAAGAGCATCTTACCATGGCCTTCTGTTTTGGAGAAACACGACAACATATGACCGATGCACAGTTGGTGGCAAGATGAAGAAGTTTCTCTTTCAAGCCATCATCCAAGGCAAAGATTAACGATTTTCCATCGATGATCAAAGCGAACACTACATCGGCATTGTTTCGTTCCAAATCAACCTGCTGTTGTCCAATCATGAGCTGTTGTGTAATACTTTCCTTGGATACCTACAAATTAACACAAAAGTTGTTAGTCAAGTAAACTAACCGAGAACTTTCGCGACAACATCAAGATACGAAAAGACCCAAGATCAAGAAACAATCAGCTTACCTTGGCTATGCTGTCCTTATCTCCAAACTCCTCCGCAGCTCTGACTTCAGCGTTGTCCAGACTGACAATGATCTGCTTCATTCCTTCTCGGAGTAGACTACATGCAAACCTGTTCACGAAAAGGACAGTGCACATGGACTGAGGATTTTTAAACAAAAACTACATTCGAGGCTACTAATTCTGAACCTATTGTCACACCTATCTGCCTGGAACCAAACTTGCACCGAGTTTCTAAAGAACTCACCCAATGTTGATGGCGGTTTCTTGCTTATCGCCAGTCAGAACCCAAATCTTCAGCCCAGCCAGTGCAAGCCGATCGATACATTCCGGAACCTGTTCAAATGAAAACGGAAATGAGTAATTCAGTGATTGAGAACACCCAAGACTTGTGTATATGGTGCAGATTCTGCGTCACAAGATCTACCATCGGATAAACGGAAACTCTACTCACCCCAGCTTGTAGCTTGTCCTCCACTGCGGTCGCCCCTACAAGAATGAGGTCCTTCTCGATCAGTTCAGATGCGGAGTCCAACATAGCGTCGCGATCCGCACCGACTGTTGTCTTGGCCTTCAGAAATATTGCATTCCATTCGGTGTACTCAGCCTCTTCCATCTTGCGATAAGAAAGGGCCAGAGTACGTAACCCAGCCTCTCCATACGTCGCAAGGTGGCCTTTGGTTGATTCGGCAAAGGCCTTGCCGCTCTTTCCCAGTCTCTCATATATAACGCTGCACCCCACCACATAAGAGAGGTTTACATAAGAAAACGGCTGACAGAGAAACGATGTCATATACAAGTGAGATCTCATCACCAACTAATGCGGACTGAAAGTTGCAAGAGGGCAAGAAGCGCATGCATCCACACCTGTCAGCGCCCTTGCACATCACGAAAATCTGGTCGTTTTCATCTTTAACGACCACTGACATTCGCTTGCGAGTACTGTTGAATTCCAACAGGTTCAGCACTTTGTACTCACTGAACAGAGACAAGTTACGTAATTAGGATATGCGAAACATCTTTCCTCAATCCTCAATAGAAGTGGCCTTCAACATAAAGTTCATAATGCCCCACAATCAACACACATCTAGACATCTACGCCAACTTCAGGAGACAGCAATACAAACGAAGACGAGGGCTTACCGCTCTACTTGACTGCCGGAAGAAGGATCGAACTCGCGCACAAGAACTGTGTTCTGCGTGCGCTTGGAAAACTCAAACCCAAACTCACGAGCAGCTATAACAAAAGCTGCTTCATCTGGTGACTCAGCTTCGTACGACACTGAACCTGTGGATTCATCTTCCTCGGGGATCGCGGTGTGACAAACTGCTAGAATTCTGAAGAACTGCAGTATGACATCAGGATTAGGTTCGTTGACCCAGGCCCCATTGGTTATGCGTTCGTCCTTAAAGTTATAACCCTTGATATGAGCTTTCGCCGACAATTCAACACCCCTCACTTCACCTTCATGTGAAGAATCTTCATCGTACTCATCCAAGTCCTTGATATCCTTTCCTAACCTTTTCGCCGTGGCTTTCTCAACCTCCGTTATTCCCCGTCCATAACTCACACCCGCAATTGAGCACTTCAGAAACTCCATTTGATTGCAAGTCAGCGTGCCAGTCTTGTCCGAAAGAATGGTGTCGACTTGTCCGAGCTCCTCGTTCAAATTAGATGTACGAGCTCGTGCAGGCGTGTCGCTCTCAGCGTGATACATTGTCAGGTCCTGATTGATGAACATGGCTTGTAGGACCTTTACGACCTCGATCGACACGTACAAAGAGATGGGGATGAGGTACCCGTAGAGGATGAGCGACGTGATGAGCTGCAGCAAAGAAGATGCGGCAGCATTGTTGGGGTCGTTGTAGATGTCGACATCCGTCGGCTCGAGGTACCACCAGTCGGGCATGTCGTTCTTGGTCCGGACGCCAAAAACGACAGCTCCGATTATTGATATCATCACCAAGACGCCAAAGAGGAAGTAAATAATCTTGTCCATCTTCCTCTCGATCCGGCTCCTCTTTGAAGGCACATCGGTGGAATTCTGCATCACCTTCGTATCGTGGCCACTAAATACAACCACTCCATATACGTACTGAGTGTTTCGCAGCTTCGAGTCCCTGAGAAGAATTTGCTGGGGTCCGAGGGACAAAGTCTCGCCCTCAATTGTGATGTTGCCGATGAAGGTATAAAGACTGGGATTGGGATCCTCACAATTCATGTCCGCATGAAATTGCCCGAACTCGGCATCTTCATCTAACTCTATCGTGCGTTCCAAGGACCTCTTTAATTTCAGGTTAGTCTCGCCATCAAGATTCATCGTCTCAACGTAGCAGATTCCATCCGGGTACGCGGAGGAGAGCATGAGCAGATCGGCCGGAAAAAACTGATCCTTTTCCACCTTAACGACATCTCCCACTCTCAACTTCTTCCACGCTCTTGCTTCGAATTTCCCCTGTCCCGAGTGTACCTTGATCTTCCGATTGTTTATTTCCTGATCCTGCAAACAAAAGTATTTTACAGATGTACGAAGAATTCAGCCGCAAGCAGTCTAGTGATATCCATCAGCAAATAAAGGCTCAATTCCGAGGCCAATCTCGGCAATGGCTTTGGGTTCGTCTGCGAACGGTCGAGGGAGATACGATTTGAGATACAAATAAGCGAGCACCAGAACAAAGAAGAGCAACTAACTCGGAGTGAACGATCCGTCATGAGCACGAACCTGAGTGAAACGACGAGAATCCTCGACGGCCTCTTTGATCATACTCACTCCCACGACAAAAACAAGGGGAGCAATCAAACTGGCAGCTGAATACGGAGCAACGGGAGTGAGAGAAATCGCTGCCGCGAGAAGAAAGTAGAGATTGGCCACCCTCCGAAACTGCTCAAACAGAGCTTTGGGTAAAAAAGTAATGAGGTTGTATTTGGTCGTCGAGACGTAGTTGGATTTGTACTTGGTAGCCGGTTGTTGAAAATGCTTCTCCGGGGTGTTACAAAAAACCACTCTGGAAAATCCCGGCCCTCCTCCCGCAGGAACCTCATCTGTGGTGCCACCACCTGGTCTTACACAAGCTGCGTACGTGTACAGCTTACTGAACCGCATCCGTTTTTCCCCTCGACTTCGCGACCCCCGAGCCATGGTTCTCGGTCCAGCCCACAGGCACTCGGTCGGGCAGTGCTCTGAACCCCGATGTCACAGGCCTCAGATCCGCGCTTGGAGCTAGAAAGAGCTTTTTTTTCCTAAGTTTTGTATCGCAAATCTGCAATCGTCCACTCTTAATCACCGAATTGGGGTGACAACTACTTCTGACCTACTTCAGTCGTGCCTTGCAACCTGTGTGGGCGAAACCCCTTCCTAAATAAGACACCACCGATCCCCTCCACCCAGAGGAGGAGACACCACCTCGATGAGGTGCTCAGATCAGGACGCAGAACCAGGATACGAATAAATTCCTGGTCGAATGTCCTGGATCAAATTCTAACTTTCCGTCAGCGAGCGCTGAAGCACTGACCGAGGACGAGCAATGAGTCTCCGCGTTACAGAGGCAGAATCGGAGTCAGCTTCACAATCATCCGCACAAGCTTCGATTCCCAGTACGAAGAGAAAGCAGACAATTCCAGAGGAGCTGGACAGATTTCGAAAACGGCCGGAGGAAAAAGCCATCATCATTCAACATCTGCCTGGCAAGCCCCATTCCATTGTGGCACGAACGAGCTTTGGAGAATCTACCATTCTCACCGTGCCTGACCCTTACGGTGGAAGGAAATTAGCTAGTCTCCACCGTAAGAGTGCAGAATGTGCTGTCTCTACGCGCTTCCCTCACTCAACCTCCTCCCCTCTCCTCTCCAAGTTCTGAAGCCAGGGAAGGGATCACACAATCCCGGTCGAAAATTGGATTCGAAGATCACCCCTGCCGCCTGCCTCGCCGAACGACCTCTCGATCTACGCAGAGAGATCTGTCGTCGTTTTGCCAGAGCGGCAGAGGAAGAAGGAACGGCCACGAGGTGCAGATCCACTCGCGCAGCTTCTCCGCTGACACGAAGTGTAATCGTCAATCCTGCATGCCTGCCTGCCTGCCTGTGCCTTTCTCGGTGCAACCACTAACTACTCTACAAGCTGCCAAATGGGAATGGAGATGGAGCTTCGCTCCACGCTACGAGCCTGCTCCATCGAATCACGATTCATGAGTAGTAGTGGTAGTAAGAATAAGGTTTTCAGTTCCAGTTCTCTTCTCGAACGAAATCTCGGGCCTGCCGTTCTCTTCTCCTCCCCTCTCCTCTCGTCGCCTCCCCTCGCCTCGCCTGTCCTCTCGTCGCCGCCCCCTCCTACTCCTCCCTCCCTCCTCGGCCCCTACGGAACCAGCAAATGTAAAAGACGAAGCTTTACCACGAACCAGACATTAAAACCCAGTAAACAAATCTGCTCGACCAGCCCACGTCGCACCGCGAAAACAATCGGGCACTGGATCGGAAATTGAATTATTCCTCAATCGGTGCAACACAGACTGTGTGTCCGTATGTATGGCTGTGTCCGGCTCTCCTCCTTCACATGCTCGCCCTCACCCTCACGCTCACCCTCCTCACCCTCACCGGCAGGGCCTCTCTCTCTTGCGCTTCTGCCCTCACCCCTCTCTTCACTCTTTCCTCCCCGGCTGTCAGGAGGAAGAGAAGGCGGAGGTGTGACATCACCCGAGCCTATTCCAATCTACCCCAAATTCCTTCTGGAACCGACGACATTATTTCCACGCTCCCTTCCTTCCTTCCTTCCTTGTCCTCGGGCCCGCGGCACGGACTTGACTTGCGCCTGGACTGGACTTCTCTGCACTGGACTGGCCTGGCCTGGCCTGGACTGGACGGCGATGGAGGAAGCCAAGGACGAAGCACTCGCCCCGCGATCTTCTCAGCTTCGCTCTGCTTCTAGACTCCTCTTCCTCGTCGGGAATTCCAGTGCGCCGGCATCCGAGCTCGACCTACTCGACCGATCGGCACGCGGCGTTGAACTCCTGCCACAACCGACCGGACCCGACCCGACCCGACCCACCACCTCCCCCTGATTAGCCCCCGTCCTGTTCTCCTTCTGCTCTCGGTCTTTTCTCCTGCTTCCTTTCCTTTCCTTTCCTTTCCTTCCTTCCTTCCTCGTTCTCTGCCCCGTCTGTCAATCCGAAGCCAAATTTGCCGGCGATGCGGACTCCGATTCCTCGCGTCTCCTGCTGCCGCGGCATCCACCACCCGCATCCTTCTCCTGCTCCTGCTTCCTCCTCGTCCTCCTCTTCTTCCTCGCCCTCCGCCTCGCCATTCTTCCCGACCCTCGCTCCCCGTCTCGGAATCGATCGGCCAATCGCCCGCGAACTCCGTCTGCTGGCTCTGGTTCGCGGTGCAATCACAGCATTATGCGGTCCGAACCGGAGCCCCGCGGGCCCGCCATAGCCAGAAGAAGGAACGCCCTGATGCTCGCTCGCTTGCTCGATCCCTCGCTAACTTCCTCCCTTCCTCCCTTCCTTCCTTCGTCCGCGACGAGCCCGCGCTGCGCGGGGCAAGCGTTGGGCCGGGTCGGGCTGGCGGGCTCAGCTGGCTCGGCCTGTCACTACCGCTGTCTGGGATCTTTGCTCCCCTGGCACGCTTTGTCCCTTGCACATTTCCTGACTGCATGTCCACCGCCTGCCTCGGGTAACTTTCACCGAGTCCGTCGTCCTCTGACCCGCCCCTTCTTGACTCCCCCTCAGCTTACGGTCCTGCGCCCGAAGACTTGTGACAGCCTCCCCAAGTTGCCTGCCGGACCGACCCGGTCTCGGCAGCCAACTTGGGGAGGATGTCACAAGTCTCCCCAAGTTGTCACACGCTCCATCGTTGGATATGCTTGAACCGGTCGCACCTGTCACCCGTTGTTTCCCCCCCGGATTCCTTTCGTGCCCCTGCCCGGCCTGCCTGCCCGCCCGCCCGCCTGCCATTAGTGGCCTCGGACCCAAAGTAACTGGAATCCGGATAGGGGGAACTTTTTCTAACTAATTCCGACGCACCTCCGGACTCCGGCCCTTATCGATCGTTGAGAATCTGACTAGATCCCGGCCTGAACCTTTGACTGCCTCTCTGCTGGTCTTCCCCCGTTACCGTGGTAGACTTCTCCACCACGCAGTAAAACTCTATTCTACTCCGTTGGGTCTACTTTCTACGGGATGTACCCTCTCTCCCGGTTCCTTCCCCTCGAGACCAGCCCCGTCCTTCCCTTTGGTTTCATCTCTGTACGTGGTCTTCCCATCTCTTTTACTTGGTTTGCCTATATTACCAGTCCCTTCCAGTCCATGACTATGATCGTCCTATTTATGCCTTTGGTTACATATGAGTGGTGATGAATTAAAATTTACCGTGAGGATTCAATTTTCATTTGATGAGATTTTTCATCAAATTAAGGAAACCGATACCCTGTAATTTCCTCTAAAGTATGATTTTGTAAAGGAAATGCTTTTCGGTAGATGCTATGTATATCTCTCTTGTGAATTCTTGCAATAAATATCAAATGTTTGGCTTAGTTCATTGTAGTGGGGCAGGGCTTACTTTCGTACTAAATTTTCTCATCATATTAATATGAAGGAGGTTGCTTTCTAATGTTAGATGTCACGTTTTTCGAAGCGGACTGCAAGCCAACTCTATAGTAGCCCCGGGTGCCTTTTGCGGTCTAGAGGTTTAGGCAGCGTATCTGGCATCCCAATTAGAACCTTGGACGGATTCTCACCTTTAGCGAACGGTAAGGCATCTAGAGGAAGGCTCGAAAGCATATGCCGTGGAGACTGGGCCAACATATCTGACATGGACAGTGCCATGGCCTGACGGACGGAATATCGGGGCTACATGCCACACTGGCGTTGCTCGTCTGCACGAATCTGTAACTGACGTCGCCCATGGCCCCGTACATTTGGCACCGTGTCGCCTTCACTGAGAGACCTCACCGTCCGTACCACGAGTCCGTCGCAGGGTCGTGCTGGCCTTCGCTCTCGTGGGAAAGTCGGACGGAATGCCACGACGGGACAGTTCATTCGCTGCCCGTCCCCACTGCCTCATTAAACCTCCGCCCTTTCATTCCCCTGGCTGCTTTCCTCGTTCTTAGGTGTGACCTCAGTGTCAGCTCCAGTTGGAGCTTCGTGCAGTACGCTGTAGATTCTTTCGCTTGTATATGGTCGGATGGCCTCCTTGGGGTCTGGTATGCCGAGTTTAGACTCCAGGCTCTAAGTCCAACCCTTCCAGCTCCAACGAAAGTCCGACAGTCCGCAGCCCACACCTCCCCCTAAATTGGCGGGACCAAGCAATACTGCCAAACGGGGGAAGTAAACTAATATTTGTGGACACGGAGGTAGATTCGCTTTACTACGCGATTCTGCGTCCTGCGCTTCTATTCTGTCTTTCTGTGTCGTCTCTCCGGTCGCAAATGGAAAGGAGCTGGGGGTCACTTCGGATGTGATTGGCACACCAAGTTCCCAACTCACTCGACACAATTCCTTACACAGACCACGTGCGGTCAAAGGACCTCTCACGTTCAGGTTCTTGCCATCTTGAAACTGGAGGCCTTTCACGTCGAGGTTGTGGAGCTTATGCAATTCTATGAAGATAACTTCAGGATCCCCGAGGCCCCCGGGGGCGAGTTGGAACAAGAATGAATTTTCTTTGGGACTCCTGCTGACCAGCTGAGAGCTGCTATATTTTGTAGTGCAGACAAACTCTGGGTTCTGAGTTTGCATGTACCATGTGAGACGTTGAAAGACTCTCGTCTGATTCTTCAGTTCTTGCAGCAGACACGTTTGCTCTGCACAATTTTAATTGGGCGGTTTTTGACTACTCACTTTTGAAGTTTCACCTTCCAGTGAGATGCAGACTTTCATTCATGCTGGATCTTTTTATGAGCCCCGTTCAGCGAGTGATACCCTTTGCCGACAATGTGAAATGGTGTTTTTGAAAACTAACCTCCATTATTGAGGGCATGAGTTTTAGATATGGGATGGATGGTAAGAGTTGGGGCGAGAACGGACCGTTGAAGCTGGGCCTAGGACAGATGTAACCGTCCATGACAGCAAGTCAAGCCTACCACTCGGCTTGTAAGGTGGCCTAACCATGTGACCTCATCATCATCATGGGCCCCCTGAAGCTCCTCTCCGAGAGTATAGTCCGCACGAACCACTCAATATTGCTATATTTTTGTCTATGGCAGCTACACCCTGTGTTGCTTTTCGGCCTGGGTTGCTATCACAGCCAACTACTCTTCGTAACAAGGAAACCAGCACATACCTTGTTAGATTGTTTGGTTGGATTCCCATATTTTCGATCAAAGCTTGGAATTTGGTTTCTTCACTTCCGCATCCAGGCCCACTATAAATATGAAGCCTTGACCTCCTCGTATTCTACTCTCGATGCAGAGAGGCGAACATGTGAGTAGATCAGGTTCAAACGGAATCAGGTCAGTCTGAAATTATGCGTATGATCTTGGGGAAAAGAAGTTTAGGACGAACGCTCCATTATAGAGATTAATGTTGTGGTCAACTTCATGTGGGAAGAACGGACGTGAAGTTTTGCACTTCAGCTCTGTTCTTTCCATTTACGTAGGTTAATTGACTTTCATTGTCGGTTTTCTTTGCGCTTAGTTCCAACCAATAAATAGATATAGATAAACATAGAATAGGATTTAATTATGTAGATATCTCATGGACACAAAATCCTAACCCGGTAGTACATTCGTTATATATCATGAAGATAAAGATCTAGTTAATAAAGCCTCTGATGTATGAAAATCACACTTACAAATCAATTCATCTAGCAAAAAACTGATGAAAACAGCTCATTATAGCAATAGTACATCCTATCCCTACAATTTGGACTTAATAAATATCTTTTCAAAAACCATCACTTGAAATTATTGGTAACAACGGCTAATGTTGTTTGATAATGAAATCTTATTGTCCAAAAAAAAATATACACTCTATGATTTTAAGTATAGCTTTTTTTGCAAAATCTAAAAAACTGAAAAGGTTTAAATAAATTTTATGAAAATATGGATATAACTTCATAAATTTATAAGCCTAAGAAAAAATGATCTTCAAAAAAAACATTTGTATTGAAAAATTTATATTCCTTTTATATTTGATTTAAAATAAATACATGAAATCATAAATATTCTGGTGTATTATATAATAACAAAATTTCACTTTAAAAAAATGATGTTTTTTTCTGTATAAAAAAATTCTAATAATTTTGTGTGATATAAAATAAGGTTTTGTATTTGAGTTCATTTAGATTGATAAACTTTACTGAGTTATTATGAGAAACATATGAATATGCATATGATTTTATAGAAAAAAATTTAGATATATTCTAGAGATATAACTCAAGAAATTAATTATTTCATTTAAAAAAAATTATCATTGAGGTTTGAGAATTACTATAAAAAATAATATCAATTACCAGTATATATTTACCCAAAAAATTTCTTAGTTAAACAAAAACTAGATACACATTGCTTTGGAAAGACATACAAATTCAACTCAAATGTAAATCATGATCAATATATGTAGCCAAATTCTTCATAATTAGAGACTAATAATAAGAATACTACAAAAATGTACCTTATAAAAAAATTTGTATATAAAAAACGACTTTATTCTATCAAAAATATACAGAAAAAGCTAATAAAATTTTTGACATTTTTCCAATAAATATGATTATTGCTTGTTGAAGCTTGAAATTATAGATAATAGTCTTAAATTATTTAAAACCAAATAATCCTAAAATAAATTTTAACATTTCATATATGACAATACAATTCACAAATTTCAATATCAAGTTATTGAAAATGTTACTTGATCTTGTATGAAAGATCGATAATATAGATTTATTAAGATCCAAAGAACTATATATTTAACATGACATATCTGAAATAGGAATTATAAGAAATCTATGAAAGTTTTATGAAAAAATATATTTGAGTTATAAAAATTATATGAAAATCATTGTTCATGTTCGAGTTATGAAAATAAAAGATTAACATTCATGTCATTATTTTTATCTAAATAATAAACTTGTTACTTTTACAAATATCAATTTTCAATAGCTTTATAACTATATCAAAATAATAAATAATTTATCAAATATAATTGATTTATAATGACAAGTGATTCTATAGGGATTTAGCAGTTTTGATTACAATCATTCAGATTCTTCTAACTCCTGAAAAAAAATATTTTGTACATTTAAATTTAATTGTTTAATTCCTTGACCTTTGCTTTCTACTATTAAATCAGGAAACTCTGTATATATTTCAACTTGAATTAAATGTTTTTTTTTTTTATTTCAACATGAGCAATTCCTCCATAGTAAAAGCTGTCAATCTTTTATTATAAAATATAAAATTTTCATATTTTGCAACAACATCATTTTATTCACTATATTACATATTGATGTTTAAATTGGAAGAATTTACTTGATCTTAACATAAATAGCTCATTGGGACA